GGACTGTCTATGTTGGCAACTACCAGGTGGGCGCTGTGGCAAGATTAGGGTAAGATCTGGGTATTTTGTCAGTCGAGGCAGGGGCTGTGGTAGGCGGAGTCGTGGTGGACTGAGATGGGCTGGGTACAGAGAAGCCCTGAGGCAGTGGGCAGTGCTATGTGAGATAAGCTGGGTGCAAGGAAGTAGCCGGAGCTTGTGCTCCTGAGGCAAGGGGCGGTGCCACGTGGGAGAGGGAAGGCAGAGAACGAGTTCCCTTTGCTTAGTCCCCTCCCTATATGCAACGTCAACCCCAGACGCCTCCTTCCTGTGACCTTCCTGACTTCCTGGGTCCCTGTGTGTAGCACTGACCCCAGACGCCTCCTTCCTGTATCCGGTCCTAGCCTCCTACGTCACTCCCTCTCCCTTGGTGTGCTAAACTCAGACAGCCCCTTCCGGTATCTGACCCTACAATCATTGGCTAGTAAGCGGGCTGGGGAGGAGGGACTAAGTAGGAACTTAAGGACGAGCGTGGTCAGATCACGCGCTCTGGCCTTCCAGCTTAGCCTTGCTGTGATGGCTTGCTGTGATGGCCTCTGAATAAAGCTCTGGTGTTGGCGCCTCCCGATGGCTCGTCTCTGTGTGTTTATCCGGTTGAGGACCGAAGACTGATGAGTGAGTATGACTCTGGCAGCCTGCTCCTTATAGGAGGAGTGGTTGGCGCGGCTGGTACAAGAATGCACTAGAAAGTTTCCCAATAAATATGAGTAAAGCAAAGACACTCATTCTCCCCACTCTTATTTGATATAGTCTTACAAATCCTAGTAATAGTTGTAATATACGATAAAGAAATTAAAGATGTAAATATGACTAAACAGTCAATAAAACTTATCTATTTGTTGATAATATGATATAATAAACCTAACAGGATATATTATTGTAATAAATAATACACTACCAATAACAGCACTACCAAAGTTAATTTGGTGTTAATGTTCTATTGATTAAAACAGTTTTGATATTCCATTGATCAAATTATCAAAGAAATACTTTATATAAATCAATAAAGTAAAAACAAATTTCACTTGAACAAATAAAATATCTTTAATATCCGGTGAAATAATGAAAACAGGTGGCAACAAAGGGAAATAATACTTCCTGACCTCAAGCTATATTATAAAGCAGCAGTCATCAAAACTAGCTAGTAATGGTTAAAAAATAGAGAGGTAATGAGTAGAATAGACTAGAAAGTAAGAATTAGAAACAATGGAATTCAGTAATATAGAGTTCAATAAACCAGAAAATATAAATTACTTAGGAAAGAACTCTCTTTTTGATAAAGTCTTGGGGAAACTGGAAAGAATTTTTTTTCTCAGAAATTAGGCATGAACCAATAGCTTAGACCATATTCCACATATATTTTCGCAATGAAATATCATGACCTTAATATCAAAAATTACATTAAAAAAAATGGAAGAGAAGTAGATTGTATATCTGTCACAGATCTGAATGGTAAATGTATTCTTTAACCAAACATGGGAGCGAGGCAATCACGGAAGATAAAAGAGTTAACTTTGATTATATAAAACTGAACAAGCTTCTGCACAAATATAATTGACATATCTAGGATAAAAAGGGAAGTGGTCAAATGGCAAAAAAAAAATCTTTGCATCAAATTTCTTTGATGAGGGTTTGGTGTCATATAGATGTATATGTATGTGTGTATATGTATGTACATATGCACAAATATGTATATGTGTGTATATGTATGTATATATGCACAAATAGGTATATACAAACACATATAATCACACACATATATATGTATATCCAACATTATATAAGCAAATTACAGACACGTGCACACCTGTGTATATATGCATATATGGATATGACCAAAAGCCATTCCCCAAAATATAAATGGAGAAAGGATATGAACAAAGAGTTTCCAAAAGAATTAGAAACTATTAACAACCATATAAAGAATGTTCCTAATCACTAACACAAAGAGAAATTCTAATCAAAACAACCCTGAGGTTTCACCTAACACTATGCAGGTTGACAAAGATAAAAAAAAAATTGGAATAGTCAGTGTTGGAAGGATTATAGGATGCTAGACACACCAGCACATGTATGGTGGAGGTATGAATTAGTATAAGCATTTTGGGAAGCAATTCAAAATTATGCAAATAAAGTAACTAAAATGTTCATACAATCTGACCCAGAAATTTTAATACTAATCTTATACTCTCAGGAGGCCTCTGATCAGAAGAAAATTTCCATATCCACAAAAAATATTCACAGTAGTATTTTTTCATGGCAAAGATGCCCAGTGATTAGGAAATCTCTTAACAAAATGTGGTACACAGATGTAACAGAATATTACTTTGTTGTAAGAAAAGATGAACGTAATGAAGACAGAGAAGCATAGAAAAAAATCTACATAAACTGATGCATAGTAAAGTAAGTAAGCAAAGCCAAGAAAAATACATGATGACTAAAAAAAATGGAAAGAGCAACCACAAAAATATCAAAAATCAGTGCTTCAAAATGAGAAAGAAGCATGCCAAAAAAAAATACAAAATGACCCCATCCCTTTGAATAGGAAGAAGGTCCATAAATGTTGTACATTGCACATATTTTCAGAATATTTAATATATTGATGAATTACGCTAATTTTTCCTCTTTTTTGATCTTAGAAAAAACCCTCCTATCTAGTTAATCATCAGTGTTGAAATAAATACATTTATTACCCTTAGTACATTTATATGAATTTTATATGAATTTATATGAAATTATAAATTTATATGAAATAATAGCTACATGATGACATACATATCACAATGCATATAAGATAAACTCCAACAGACCTGTGATCTCATTGAGGGTAAGTCTCTTAACCTCTTATAACCCAGACATAAATGATTTCTACATCTCTATATATTCAGCCTCAATCTCTTTGCTGAGTTTCAGTCCCATCACTAAAATATCTAATGGTCATTTCAAGCAGGATATCTCACAGACATATCCTCCAGATAAAATTCAAAAGGCACAAAACAGAAATTGTTATCTTCTTAAATCCTTTCCTATTCTGAATTTCTGCTTCTACTGAAAGTACATCCATTATTCTAGTGTCAAAGGATGGTAACCTCGTGTTATTCTTGATTCCTCATTCTCTCTCACCTGGCATATGTACTCGTTTACCAAATCTTACCATGTCTTCCTATACAACATTTATCATATCCAGTGGTATGGTGGTGAATGTTTTAAAAAAATGGGCATGACACACTTTTAATTTAAATCTACATTATTAACATTTTCTCCATCACTTTCTTAGGTCTCTCAGGTTCCCCACTTCTGGAATCAACAAAATAGTAAATCAAGCCCTGATATACAACATTTGCTAACTTATGAGATGTAAGCACTCACACTAAAAATTTAACAATTGGCTCTTCCTAGCTTGTCGAGCTGGTTCCTACACAATCTCTTCGAATGCAGCCGTCATTTTAAGCTAGGCTCTCAAAACACCTCTCACCTGGACTACTAACAATAGCCTTATAACTGTCTTCCTATCTCAAGTCTCTCCCCAATCCAATCCCTTCTTACACACATCTGTCAAAATGATTTTCTTTAAGCATAGATATGGCTAAGTCACTTTCTTTTTCAATAGACTCTAATATTCCTGCATTCTTCTAGGATAAAAGAGAAACTCCTCAATTTGGCATTTATTGTCCTTCACAGCAGGGCTCCAACCTATCTTTCAAGTGTCAGCATATATTATTCCTTTTGCTGAACTCTACAGTCCAGCAAAACTGGACCTTCTGTTCTTCAACATATACAAATGCTCCTACTCTATCCCTTCCCCAGCCGAATGTCTCCTCTATCATCCCCATGATAATCTTCAATCTCTGCTTTTCTATTGAATGATCCATTCCTGCCTACAAACATGCCCATGTACTCCTCATCCTTAAGAAACCCTTTCTTGATTCATCATCTCTTACCATAAGCCTATATCTCTCCTCCTTTCTGTGGCTAAACTTGTGATAACTGTCCTGAGTCAATACGACCACTTTCTTTCTTCTCACTTTCTTCTGAATGTTCTGCAAACTGGTTTCCAGCCTCATCATTCAGCTGAAGCTGCTCTCTCCAAAATTACCAATGATCTCTGAATTGTCAAATCTGATGGCCTTTTCTCAAGAATTATCTTTCTGGAAATCTCTGAAGCCTTTAACACTGTCAAGCATCCTCTTCTCTTTGATATTCTCTTTGATCTAGGCTCTCTTCTGACTGCTCTACCTCCTACATTGTATTCTTCACTGGTTCCTCTTCCTCTTCTAAGCTATCTTTAAAGTCTATCACCCTCTTTTTTCTATTTTAATGTAGATGTTTCCCAAGGTTCTAGCTTCTGCTCCTAAGTGGAAAGTATATATAAGATGGAAGTATTTAGAGCATGATTAAAAAAAGAAAAGATGGAGACAGGGTCCTAAATTTCTTAAGAAAGAAAAGTGAGTGACCTGGGAAATAGGAGATGACTACTAAAAGGATGTAAACAGGGTGATATAAGCAAGTGACTTCAAAAGAAGAGGCGACTGAGTGATGGTAGCAGAGGAAATGTATGAAGCAATGTGTACGCCTCCTCCTCCTCCTCCTGGCTCAATGGTTCTGGGACATCAAAGAAGGACATCTGCAGTAGTGGAGAAGGTGGCCAGGAATGCATTTATTCTAAAACAAGCCATAGAAAGAGTATAAGAGGAAGAGTCTAAGATGAAGGCAAATTTGGTAATAATTATTTGAGAGGACATAATGGAGCAGATTCCAGTTGTACAAGATTTTTGAACAGGTAGGTTGATATGGATGCAGACAAGAGATTGGAGAGACGTAGCCAGGGAAAAGGGTTTTCACCTTGGAAAATCTAAGTCATAATGAATAAGAGAAAGGGAAGTGAGTTTTTCAGTCTTTGGGCAAGAAAGTACCAATTGATGTGTTCCTACATTTACTCATGAATTGAAGATTATGTTACTTACCAATTTGCTTTCTATATTGATCAACAGGAAGTTTTAAAGTGGAAGCATCCTTTCTGCCCATCTTGGGTCTCTAAAATACCTATTCAAAAGAAAGAAAAAAAATCATAAAATATTTTAAAAAATAAAAATAAATCACATATGAAAAGAAATGAAGTCTATGGAATATCTTTGTAAGCAATTTATTATTGTTGTTCAGTCATTTTATTCTTGTCTTACTCTTTATGATCCCATTTGGAATATCCTTGGCCAAGATACTAGAGTGGTTTGCCATTTCCTTCTCTAGCTCATTTTATAGATGAGGGAACTGAAGCAAACAGGATTAAGTGAGTTGCCCAGGGTCATATATCCACTAAGTGTGTGAGGCCTGATTTGAACTCAGGTCTTCCTGACTCTAGGCCCAGTGCTCTAGCCATTGTGCCACCTATCTGCCATAATACCTCAAAATTATTTTGACCTTTTGCCACCAAATCGACAGTTGTGTGGTACACTGCTATACCTTTTGTGGAACACAGAGATTGGGGGTGGAGGGCCTCTAGGACACTGGATCTGATAGATCTCAGTTAATTACTTAGAAAGTCACTTATCCTTTCTTAGCCTCAGTTTCCTCATCTGTAAAATGCATGTAATAATCATACCTACCTAGCATTGCTGTGATACTCCAATAAGATAATATATGTGAAGGACTTCGTAAAAAAAGAACTTTATAAATGTTAATTGTCATTATTATTGTTACAAACACTTTAAAAGGTCTTTGATTTCATTGGTGTAAGTATAACTTCTCCATGTCTAAGTGGCCAGTCTTTGAGAGTTGTGATGGCAAAAAAGAAAAAAAAAAAAAGAAAAATCCTGACAACCAGTCTTCCTGTGATGATCTTGGCTGGACCTAAGTAGTCTGGTCCTTGGATGGCAGATGCAGTCTGTCACAGGGTTGCCCCTGAAGCCTTTGCAATTTCAATAAGGCATGTCAAAGCTTGTGTTCCACTGGTATAACCTTGACAACTGAGGCCTACCTCCATTCCAGGACTTGTTTTCTTAATATATACTTGTTTTTGTTTTTTAAAGGTTTTAAGGATACCTCATCTTTCAAATCTATTTCAAATATAATAATAGTATATAAATATATACTGAGGTGATAACTGAAAATAGAAGTCATCAGACACTAACAAAGAACACAATAAACAGGCTTGTTTCTTTAATTTTTATAGGGTTTTTAAAAATTACTTTTTCTCAATTTTCTATGTCCCTATGTAAATAAGTTTATATATCACTTTCAAAACCCAAATCCAAAATATAATTTGAGAAGCAAACAAAATAGGGACATAAAATGTGATAAATAAATACTATTACTGTTATCATTACTGTCACTGCAAAAATTGTTATTACTGTCACTGCAAAAATTGTTAATAGTGAAAAGTTTTTAATTTTTACTATAGATACTAAATCAGGGGCATAAACAAAGTTATTCTCTTTTTATGAAAAAAAAATCATTAAAGGTTATTTAAAATGAGCCACAGAAATTCCTCTGTTTATCTGTGTAGTTCAAACTGTCAGTGAATCAGATAACTAAAATGTTGTGACTTTTCTTTGTTCTTCAAAGCTATGTGGTAATCATCATTCATTTAGACCGCTTTGATGGTTGGATAGCAAACTACCAAGAAACCCATGGAGACATTAGCACATACAGCCACAACGTCTAATAAGACAGCTATTTGCATAAAAGATCAGCCACAATTTAAAATGTGTTGTGATAGAAGTGGAAAGGGAATAACAGTTCTATATTAGTATGTACAAAACCAAGATTGTTTTCACAATTTAATTCTCAAGGGACTGTGTCTCATCACCTTCCCTTGAGAAGAATATAGCATTCCCTGAGGAAGTAACTTGCTATGAGCCTAAGTTAAACTAAAACAAGGATTAATAAGAACTAATACTTATTATTGATGAGGTTTTTTTTTTGTAGGAATGGTTTCAGATGTAACCATTATAGAGTTCTAAAAAAAAACAAACCCAGTAATATTTATAAACAAAAAATGTTAACTTTAATACCAAAGTGGGATGCCTAAAATAGTTCAGTGAGTTCATTTTAGTTACATTAAAAATATTTTTAAATTACCAATATCCTCATTGGACATAAGTTTTTAAATCACTATTGTAGATTAATATTTTATTAACCTGAATTGCACAAAAACATGATATAGATTTTCAAGAAAAACATCTCAATAGCATCTGAAAACAACACTGGAAAACATGCTTATTTTTAGCATGTTTTTCATTTCTTTTTCAGATAATATATAGAGAATTAGAAAGAATGACTAAACAAACTTAAAACTTTTACACTTTTCCTGCTTCAAGAAAAAGGACGCAAGTCAGATATATACATTTAAATTCACATCAAAGGATATTAAAAATTAACATAAGCCAGAAGTACAGAGATAGTAATCATAATAGTTATTATTTCTCTTTCTTGTACCAACAATGAACAAAATAAGACTAGAGTGGGGAATCAATATTCAGTGAAATACAAAGTAAGTTATATTCCAAAATAAAATAGCAATGTACTTAATCTTACTTAACCTTTTTTAAAATATTAAAGATGAATTGAAAACCCTTTCCACACCTTATGTAATCATTAATAGCTTGGGATTTAGTTAGTGAGTATTCAAAAATGCTCTTAGGGGGCTTGCTACATTCAACTCAATACATACTAAAACTAGAAAATACCCAGAGAAAAACAGCGAAACAGTGAACGGACGACACACAAATCTGTAAAAATTAGTTAAGAGGAGGGAGTGTGTATAGAAATCAGTAGAGAAACTAAGGAAATAATCAAGTAGAAATGCATAATGCAATGAATACTGTAGAGTAAAAGAATTCTAGCACAAAACTACGAAAGATAATTATCCAATAACTATAATCAGAGAAAAGATTATGGAATGACCACTGGGATTCTGAGAGTGGTTGGTAGGCCTAATAAAGTACAGGACAAGATAAAGAGTCAAATAGACATCTTAGGAGATAAATTAGGAAATCTTAATATCCTTCCCCATACACTCCCAAATGGAGAAACCAGAACTCAAAGAGCCAAAATAGTATGTGTAATATCATACTGTTCTTATTTTCAACCTACTTCTCTCATTCCACAACATCCAAATAATAAGTATAACAACTCTGCAGTACTTAAAACTGCAACAAAAAAATAATAATAGCTATTATTTCTAAAGGGTTTTGAGGTTTATAAAATTCCTCATGTATATGCATCTATCTATCCAAACAGCTATGCATATACACATAAGTTTATATGTATATTTATACATACATATATGTGTATACACACACACACACACACACACACACATACATTTTATTTGACCCTAACAACTCTGTGTAAGTCCAACTGAAATAGGAGCGACATTTTACTGAGGCAGCTTCCCTGTGTTCCCTGATACAGCTTCCGCCCCTCCTGATACACAACCTGATTGTTCCCAGCTTCCCCGACCAGTACAGTACTTTTACATGAACTACATGCATTGTGCCTTAACAGAATGAAATGGTAAAATATTACAAATGTTTCTAAATAAATATTATGAAACAAAGGCATATAAAACAATTACTGATGTAATGCAGCATGCAAGAGAACATGGAAGCACATTCCAGAATAGTTCAAAAAACTGAAACTTTGAGAAGAATTAGAAGGGAACAAATCTCTAGAACAGAAAAAACCTGAACCATGTTGGCAAGTGGAGAGAACAATGGATTTGGAATACAAATACACTGCAATGAGGAAAATCTAGAGAAAGAGACATAAAAGGCAGTAACAGAAGGATTACTAAACAGACAAAAGACATTGATGTCAAAGAAAGGTTGCACGCAAACAACTTAAGGATCCTAAATCTCCCAGAAGAAGTTGAAAACAATTAGTAAAAATCTAAATACCGTAATTTAGGAAATGATACATGAATACTGTCCAGAGCTTCTGAATACAGGGAACAAAACAGTAATCAAAATAAACCACAAGACAGCTCCAAGAAAAAAAAAATGCTTCAGAGCAGTTAAATTTCTTATTTCTAACGACCAAAAAAAGAATGCTGCAAATATCCAGAAGAAAACACTTCAAACATAAAAGAAAGAGAATCTTACACAAGAATGTTCTTATTGTTCAGTTGTTTCATCATGTCCAACTCCTTATGAACCTATTTGGGGTTTTCTTGGCAAAGATACTAGAGTGGTTTGTCATTTCCTTCTCTAACTTATTTTACAAATAATGAAATGAGGCAAACAGGATTAAGTGACTTGCCCAGGGTCACATAGCTAGTAAGTATCAGGCCAGATTTAAACTCATGAAGATGAGTCTTTCTGACTCCAGGCCTGGCATCCTATACATTGCCACACCTAGCTGCCCCAACTCAAGACTACACTGCATGAAATAGAAACTGAAGGGGTAGCTAGGTGGCGTAGTGGATAGAGCACCGGGCCTGAAGTCAAGAGAACCTGAGTTCAAATCCAACCTCAGACCAAACACTTGACACTTACTAGCTGTGTGACCCTGGGCAAGCCACTTAACCCCAATTACCTAAAAAAAAAAAAGAAATGGAAACTGAAGAAGACAATGGAAGAATCTATTGCAAAAAGCAAAGCAGCTCATGATGCCACTTGAAATGATATATTCAACAAACTTGAACCAAAGCATCAATGAAAACAGGTTCATAATAAACCTGTTTTATATAATAAATAAAAAATATTCTTATAAAATAAATATTTTATATAATAAATAATAAATATTCTTTATTCATAATAAAGAAGCATTTGAAGCATCCCTGTAAGAAAACAGCAACAACAACAACAAGCATGAGCAGATTATTCTATCAGACAAGTACACTGGACTGTGAGCCTCTTGAGAACAGGGACTATTTTTTATGTATCTTTGTAGCGGTAGTCCTTCACCGTTGGAACACATCTAAGTGATCTGAAAATGCCAGTTGAATGACTGATGATAATTCAACTTTAAACAATCCCAGACAACAGAATCAAAAGACAGGTGAATAAGTATAACTAGTAAGTAAAGAGTATGTAATCAAATAA